TGCCAATGTAGTCGCTATGAGGCAATGCAAGTGCCCACCAGGTAAGGGGGATAATGCCCTGTGACAGACCAGCGCAGGACGGCAGGATTGGACCATGTGTATATGCCATAAACTATGATAAACACACAAAACAGAAGTCCCTTGGAAACTCGAGCAGAGTACTGCAAGGGCGAAGCTAAATTGGGCAATGACACCAGTATGGCTGACGGTCGCTGACCCTAAATTGTCGCACCTGCTGCCCCTGGCATCCTGAGCCTGAAAAGTCAGGCCTATCATCAGGTCACCGTGACTCTGATCAACATGTGTGCACTCGGTTCAGCGCAAGTATTTTCTCAAGGGCAGAAAAAAAAAAATCAGAGAAACTTTTGAGTGCATGTGTGCACTCGGTTCAGCGCAAGTATTTTCTCAAGGACAGAAAAAAAAAAATTCAGAGAAACTTTTGAGTGCTTCTTGTCCGAATCATCAACGAGTTCTTTATTTTTCAACCGAAAAAAAAAAAAACGAATTCAGTTAAGCAACTGTAAGTAAGCCGGCAGAGGCTTTCATTGGCACAAGTGCGAACCTGGACGCCGTGTGAGACGAAAGGCCGAAGGCCAGAGCACATTCCTGCAATTTCTTTCTTACTTTTTTGTTAGTTTTCCCAGATGCAGCAGAACCTACCCTACATACCTGATCATTTTTCCAGACTTTTCAACAACAGAAAAGGGAATTAAAATTTGGGCACACATAATGCTGTGCACCCCCCTGGTACCCCGCTTGGGGTCAACATGTTCCACAGCCTCCTTGTATACTGCCACATTCTTCTGAGGAAATTGGCTCATACCGGTGGTGATCAAACCATGAGTACCTCGCCAGGCCACTTTTTCCCAACGCGGCCATTAACGCACCGCAAAATTTTGCATGTTGGCCTGCCGGGGCAAAATGGCTGGCAACGCCAGCCAAAAGGAGCCCTGCGCCATTTCAATTTTTCTTTGGCGCACAGGGCATTTCCAGGCTCGGCAAGGGAAGAGTTAAAAGACTCGAAAAGCACAGGTGGTTTAAATTGGGAGATCTTTAATGACAATGAATGTGAACATTGTGAAGAGATAGATAAGAAATGGTCAATTATTGAGACAATATCCTGCTCCTATCATATTTTCAAGACGACAACTGAGTTGTTGCATGCCGAAATGGGAAGGAGACAGTACCATGACGCCCTGTTTTATATAGTGTGACGCTGTCCCGTGAAGCACCATGGACACCAGCCGGGTGCAGGGGGTGACCCAGCACTTGGTAGCTGGGCACGAAATAAAGGGGGATCTACTGCCCAATTTCTTCCCATGAGGCGTAATCTTTTGGTTGCCACATGTTTTCCTTTTGGCCGTTGGACTGGGCAGTTTTGCACATGAGTTGAGATTTGGGCCTGCACAGCACAGGAAAAAGAGTGTTGGGCAGCATGAGTGTGCACGCCCATGCAAGAGAGAGAGAGAGAGAGAGAGAGAGAGAGAGAGAGAGAGAGAGAGAGAGAGAGAGAGAGAGAGAGAGAGAAAGAGAGAGAGAGAGAAAGAAAGAGAGAAAGAGAGAGAGGAGAGAGATTAATATCAAGATAGAAGGAGAGGGAGAGGGGGAGAAAGAGAGAGAGGACCACTTTCTCCCCTTCTGCACCCTCCTCCCTCTTTTTCTGCCCCCTGCTATCTGCCGTGGGCAAGGTTGTGGTAGCAAACCGCTTGAGATGTAAAAACAAGAGGAAAATTTCATCTGTAGATAAAAGGAAAATTTCATCTGTAGATTCTGTACCCCATTTGAAGTTGGGAATACCCGCTATACCCAGTCCCAGTGGCCTGTGCAAATTATTTGCATGCCCCAGACCAACGTGGGCCAAGGTTGATATTGCTAAAGTGCAGTTATATCCTGCATAGCATCGTGTTTGTGTTCGTAGGCAAACACGAACATGTTTGCCCGAACGAGAACGCGCACCAGAAACACTCCGAATGCAAAAAAAATAATAATAATAATAAATAAATATAAATAAATAAATAAAAATCTCAGAAAAATGTCATGTGAAAGAACAATACATTGAATACAAGCAACTTTTGCCTTGGGAATCTTGTTCAGATTCGTAGCCAAACGTGAGTTAAAAATCAAAAACCGACAAAAAAATTATATATATATACAAAAAAAAATAAAAAATCGCCCGAGCACGTTCGCAAGCCGTTCGCGCAAACGTGGAGGGGCGTGAACTCGTTTGCCGTGCTACCCAGGTTATATCCAACTACTGGAATGCTCAAATTATGCACATACCCAGGTGAATTAAGTGCATACCCAATTTTGCCTGCCCAGTGTCTGGGCGTGAGCATAAATTTGTGCTCCCCAACCAAAGGCCTGGGGCTACACCTATAATTTGGTGCAAGGGAAAAGTAGGGTATTCCGAGAAGGGGCCTCAGCCCACTAGCACAGTTAGGTCATGGATAACTCCACCCAGAATCACCCGCCAAACGCACACACTACCAGCAACAGAAGTCCGGATGAATGGCCTGGCTCCTGCCATCCCACGCAAGCCAAAAGATACCAGCTACACTGCTGATGTGGCCACTCCGGCTGCCTACTCAGGTTAAATCCAGATTTTCAGTCCATAAAGATCCCCACATTCAACCGCACTGATACCAACATTAATGGGAGAGCTGCACAACTAGCACGTCAGTCTTCACCCAGGCCTGTGCAAAAAGTTTAGTCGCTAGCATGGTTTCCTCGCTGATCTTCAAAGAACACTCCTGAGAGAGAATTGAATAGTTCGGTTGAGTGGGTGATGGCCATCCCGGGGAGAGCTGTGCAACAAGGTTAGTCTTCACCCAGTTTTCGGAGCACAAAGCAGTGCCAGCATCCACGTTTTTTTTTGTTTTTTTTTTTTCCACTCCTAATAATCTGGGAGGCATCAAGTTTGGTTGCTTATCACCGGCAAGCATGTAAAATCCAATCAAGACTGATTTGGATTTCCTTCTGCGCGACAAGGTCAGTCTTCACCCAGTTTTCGCAGCACAAAGCAGTGCCACCATCCATGTGTGAGGATTGAGCCCTCAAGTAGGGGCCTTGCCATGATGTACATGTTCTGGGCTAAGGCGCCAGCAAGCCTTGTGCCCGCCCTAAGTGAAGGCGGGCCAGCAAATCAACAAGAGCCCTCTGTGCCAACATTTCACGAAGTGGGATCCATACAGTTGCAGCACGCCCGTTGGTTGGAGTGCTCCGAGTCTCGGATTTCAGCAAATGCTGAAAGCCCAGGGCCTCTGAGTTAGTTAGGCCCTGGGCACTCGAACGTGAGGCCGACAATGCATGCTGGGTATAGAGGCCGAAAATGCCAAAGGGAAAATCGGCCCACTATCTGAATCTGGCCTCAGGCCTTGATGAAGGAGGCACAACTGCATTGCCCCGGGGCCCAACTGTATCGGGTTGGCTTCAGCCTCTGGGTCCCGGTCACAGGCTGAAGGGAGGCCGCCCACATGCTGCACCGGCATATAGGCAAGCAGGGCGAGTGGGCAGGGATCTTGGCCAATGCTGGCATTGTGGGCACGCTGCGCGGATGCATGTGTGCTGCACTGTGCAGAGCAGCGCTGCGCTAAGGTGAAGCA